ATATATATATATATATATATATATATATATATATATATATATATATATATATATATATATATATATAGTTAAAGTCAGAATTATTAGCCCTCCATTTGTTTTCTTTTCTAAATATTTCCCAAATGATGTTTAACAGAGCAAGGAAATTTTCACAGCATGTCTGATAATATTTTGTCTTCTGGAGAAAGTCTTATTTGTTTTATTTCGGCTAGAATAAAAGCAGTTTTTAATAAAAAAAATAAATTTAATGTTAAAATTATAAGCTGCTTTAAGCTATATTTATTTTCGATAGTCTACATAACAAACCATCGTTATACAATAACTCGCCTAATTACCCTAAACTGCCTAGATTACCTAATAAACCTAGTTAAGCTTTTAAATGTCACTTTAAGCTGTATAGAAGTGTCTTAAAAAATATTTAGTCAAATATTATTTACTGTCATCATGACAAAGATAAAACAAATCAGTTATTAGAGATGAGTTATTCAAACTATTATGTTTAGAAATGTGTTGAAGAAATCTTCTGTCCATTAAATAGAAATTATGGAAAAATATACAAGGGGCTAATAAATCAGTGGGGCTAATAATTCTGACTTCAACTGCATATATATATAATATGCTGTGTACATACACAGTACTGTGTAATACACAGTGCTCAGCATATATGAGTATACGACTCACAAATCTCATTTAAATTAATGTGTATGTTGCATAAAACATTTTATATATGTAAAATCCAGCTATGAACTAGTATGTCACATAAATAATTTGCATCTATTGTCACACATCAGATTTCTATATGGGAGAATTGACAATGTTTTTGCATTTAGCGTCTCTCCTGAATTGAAGCTTTGATGGCTGCTTTTCATTCAGGATTTCCCAGATCACATGTTGTATTTCCAGATTGATGATGGGTTGTGTGCTGTTAGCTGTCTGATTTGGTTTTGATGGGAAATAATCGATGTTAATGAGACGCACTGTTACTGAATTTGTGCAGTGACATTTCCTGACCCATAATCCAGTGGGTTTACAGTAATACATTGTTTACACTAGCCAGCAAATCAGATTACAGGACAAATCTCTAAAATGGATGAGTTCTTAAATGTGCAATTGATTATGATGGCGGTGGCTTTTTTCATCTATACTGTTTATGTGTTATTATTTATACTTTAATACTGTATAACATTTATACAAATTGGATAATAGAAGATTGGAGAAAACATTGGCTGGTCTGATGAGTCTTGATTTCTGCTGCAACTTTCAGAGGGTAGGGTCAGAATTTGGCATCAACAACATGAAAACATAGATCTATTCTACCTTGTATCAATGGTTCAGGTTGTTGGTGGGGTAATGGTGTGGGGGATATTTTCTTGGCACAATTTGGGCTCATTAGTACCAATTGAGCATCGCGTTAATGCCACAGCTGACCTGAGTATTGTTGCTGGCCATGTCCATCCCTTTATGACTACAGTGTGCTTATCTTCTCATGGCTACTTCCAGCAGGTAAACACACCATGTCATAAAGCGCAAATCATCTCAGACTGGTTTCTTAAACATGACAATGAGTTCACTGTACCCAAATGGCCTCCACAGTCACCAAATCTCAGTCCATTAGAGCACCTTTGGGATGTGATGGAACTTGAGATTCACATCATGGATGTGCAGCCGACAGATCTGCAGCAACTGTGTGATGCTGTCATGTGAGCATGCAAATCTCTGAGGAGTATTTCCAGTCTCTTGTTGAATCTATGCCACAAAGAATTAAGGCAGTTCTGAAGGCAAAAGGGGGTCCAGCCCAGTACTCGTTCGGTGTACCTAATAAAGTGGCCAGTGAGTATATGTTATTATACTGGGGGTATATGCGAGTATATGTGGGGCTCTGTTGTATGTTTTATGGTGAAAACTTGTGTACATGGAACTTGGCTTGTGTTAAGGCACCTTGCTGCAATTTTAGTTTCCCCATAGGAAAATAAATTTAAGTCTGAATTTGTGATATGTGGACCGCAAACCCCTAAACCCTGGACTGCAAAACTGTCTTATGGCTATATTTTTTGCAGTTGCTAAAAAATGCGTTGAATGAGTCAGAATGATTGATTTTTCTTTTATGCTAAAAATCATTAAAACAATAACTAAAGACCATGTTCAGTAAAGATTTAAATTTCCCTACTGTAAATATGTCAAAACTCAATTTATGATTAGTAACATTCATCGCTAAGGGCTTATTTTGGACAATTTGAAGGCAGTTTTCTCAGTATTTAAGTTTTTTGAAAGCTCAGATTCCAGATTTTCAAATAGTTTTAAATTCGTTTTGTAAATCTTGTCATATCCGAACAAACCAAACGTCAATGGAAAGCTTCAGTTTTTCATATACTGTTAAAGTCAGAATTATTAGCCCTCCTAAATTATCACCAAAACCCTCCCGCCCCCCACCCTGAAATTTTTTTTTCTCTTAATTTCTAAACACTAAAAGTTTTAATAACTCATTTCTGATTTATTTAATCTTTGTCATGATGACAGTGGATAATATTTTACTACGTATTTTTCAAGACACTTCTATACAGCTTAAAGTGTCATTTAAAGGCTTAACTAGGTTAATTACAGTAGGGAAGTTAGGCTATTTGGTCAAGCCATTGTTTTACAGCGGTTTGTTCTGTAGACTCAGGGTTTCCAAACTTTTCGACCGCAAAAATAATGCCAGTGACTCGCAACCCCCAATATCCTCTGAGATGGTTATAAATATACAAACTCTGCATGCAGTGGCGCACACACACCATTAGGCCCATGCCTATTCTTTGTTTAATTTTTTTTTATGTATGTGAGTGCTGTAAATGTGTCAAAGTTTAACCTGGTGCCATAAAATCTGCTGCATCTGACACTATTCCTGTGTCTCTAATAATGCAATCACCCCAAGGGTTACAATCAAACAGAAAAAAAGAAAGGCTGTAACTATAGGCTACAAAATCTTCAGTAGGTTATGGATTCAGCAGGTTATGGTTTATTAATGAAAAATTTGACTTTTAGAAATCACCAAGCGGCCTTCTTTTTTGACTCCCATGACTCCCCCGGGAGGTCCCGACCCCACTTTGGGAACCACTGCTGTAGACAATCAAAATAAATATTGCTTAAGAAGGCTAATAATATTGACCTTAAAGTGGCTTTAAAAAATATAAAACTTATTTTATTCTAGTTAAAATAAGACTTTCTTCGAAAGAAAAAAATATCATAGGAAATACTGTGAAAAATTCATTGCTTATTGTTATTTGAAGAAATATAAAAAAAAATAATAATAAAATTCACAGGAGGGCTAATCCTTTGCTCTTCATCTTTAAATTTGTAAATGTATGACTGGTTTTGTGGTCACATATTATGTTTTTCTTATATGATTTGCTGCTTAACGTTGATTGTCCATTTTCTTGCAGGTTCTGTGGAGGTGAAGAATGCAGACAGGAGGTCTTTTCATACGATGCTGTAAAACCAAAACATAATCGAGCACAATCACCGCAGAAGAAAGAGGATTCTGATTAGCGAAGAGAAACAAAGGGAAGTGACAATGGGGCGAAAGAAGATCCAGATTACCCGCATAATGGAGGAGAGAAACAGACAGGTGAGATGAGGACATCTGCTTCACAAATACAGACTGGAATATGTAACGGTGAAACATTTAGCTGGGTTAATCATTCATTCATTTTCCTTTCGGCTTAGTCCCTTTATTAATCTGGTGTTGCCACGGCGGAATGAACCACCAGAATATGTTTTATGCAGCGGATGCCCTTCCAGCTGCAACCTATCACTGTGAAATGTCCATATACACTCATTCACACACATACACTACGGACAATTTAGCTTACCCAATTCTCCTACACCGGATGTCTTTGGACTTGTGGGGGAAACCGGAGCACCCGGAGGAAACCCACGTGAACACGTGGAGAACATGCAAACTCCACACAGAAACACCAACTGACCCAGCCGAGACTTGAACCAGCTACCTTCTTGCTGTGAGGCGAACATGCTACCCACTGCGCCACCGTGCAGCCCTAGCTGGATTATTGGTAATAAATTATTAATGTTTGAACTGCATATATGGATTATTTGGAAGCTGGTCTTTGTCCTATCACTTGTGGGGGAAACGAGCAACCGAAGGAAACCCACGCGAACACTGGGAGAACATGCAAACTCCACACAAAAACGCCAATTGACCCTGCCGGGACTCGAACCAGCAATCTTTTATGCTGTATGGCGATTGTGTTACCCACTGCGCCACCGTGCTGCCCGCTATGCCATCATAAATAGTGAAAATAATCCATTGAAGAAGGCTTTAAGGACCAAGCGGAATCCTCTGTTGGCTGTCGCTTTGGTGTGACTTCAGCTAATCAGTTTTGGCCAAAGCTAACAAGTCTTGGACCTTATTCTTGAAACAAAAAATGACTAATGAAAAGGTGTGAAGCACCAAAAGTGACCAATATTAAAATGAATTTGAATAATAGCTTGGCTTTTGTTGTTATCAGTGAATTTTAAAATGTACCTTTTTGATTATGATGACCATCCGACAAGCTATTTTAGCTAAAATAGTGCTTAAAATGTCACTAAAATAGTATTTAATTATAGATATTTAAATCTCAGAATTAAATAGTAGCCTAAATGAGGCCTATAACTGCAGAAAGGTCCACTTTTTGAGAGAAAAAAAAAACCCCACCCCTTTCATTAGGCTGGCGATGGGCCTGGTAGAGTAAACACTTCTGTTGTAAATATTGTTCAATTGAGTAAAAAGTGGAGTACTCATGAGTTGTGAGCATTTAGTAATACACAGTGAAAAGCTGATGCATTTGCATGTTATTCGTGATTGTGTGTGTAAACATAACATTCTATTTATTTAGCTATTGCTAAAGACTATTTGGTATGTCATACAGTAGACATCAGCCATCTTCTCATCAGTGACATGCAGTCTAAACAGTCTCATTGTCATTGTGTGTAAAGATTTTGGACATCGTTTTGTAAACCCCTTTAATGCTTTAATACATTTTTAATGCATAAGCATTCACAGCCTTTGCTCAATACTTTGTTGATGCACCTTTGGCAGCACACTGCAAAAAAATATTTTCTTACTAAGATTTTTTGTCTTGATTCTAGTCCAGATATCTACAAATTTTTAAATCAAAAAGAATTTTCTAGACAAGCAAAACATATAGTCTTGTTTTAAGAAATAATATGCCAAAATTAAGTGAGTTTTTCCTTAAAACTAGCAAAATAATCTAACAATGGGGAGAGCAAAATAATCTTGTCAAAAGGAAAAATAAGATTATCTTGCTTATTTTAAGGAAAAACTCAATTAATTTAGGCATATTATTTCTTAAAATAAGACTATATGTTTTGCTTGCCTAGAAAATTCTTTTTGATTTAAGACTTTTTAGATATCTAGACTAGAAACAAGACGAAAAAATCCAAGTAAGAAAATATTTTTATTTTATATTATATTTTCAATATTTTGACTAAAAAAACACGAAAAATCTAAGTAAGAAAAGCATTTTTTTGCAGTGCAATTGCAGCTTCAAATCTTTTTGGAATTTGATGCCACAGGCTTGGCACACCTGTCTTAGGGAGTTTCTTTTTTGTTCAATAGGATTTAGGTCTGGGCTCTGGCTGGGCCACTCAAGGACATTCACCAAACAGTATTGAGGCAGTTTGGCATGATGATGTGATTTACTTTCTACGTGCGATTTGATTGGACAGGAATCACAGGACAGATTTTTCTACTCAGCCAATCCTCATAGACAAGAAAAAATTAAGTAGTGACTGCAGGTTGAAGTAAAATAACCAATGCAACACTAAAAATGAAAGTACAAGTACACATTTTTAAAACTACTTTGTAAATTACAATTCCTCAATTACAGTAATTTAAGTATTTGTAATTTGTTACTGTACACCACTAGTGCCAGTATTAGCGGAGAATGCTGTAGAGCAGTGGTAACGTCCCACATCTTCCTTCATTCCTAACATACATGGCTTACATCTGCTGAAATGAGCTCCTTGGTGTGTTTATTGAATGTGTAGGTCAGACAGTGTGTCTGAAGGCCGCTTCTCCTCCACACTGGAGCTCTTGTACAGTTGGTGTGGTAGCAGTAATTAGAGCATTTCAGGGCTCCACATCTCTCATTAGGAAACTGGTCAGTCTGAGACGGCTCTCTCTCTGCCCCGATGGCCATCACTCACAGCTAAACCACAGAGACAAGCCTGAATGTACCCAGTCTAAATTTAAAATACCAACCAGCACCACAAACTCTATCTAGTCTGGGCGCTCTTGTTCGCTGGAGTATTTTTGGTACAGAAAGCCTTTTTTGATCAGACATTTGCGCTGGTTTACTTAGTGACACACTGTATGTTGGAGTACAGTATACATCTGCAGTCAGAATTATTAGCCCCCTTGTATATTTACTCCCAGTTTTTGTTTAAAGGAGAGAAGATTTTTTCAACACATTTCTAATAGTTTTATTAACTCATTTCTAATAACTGATTTATTTTATCTTTGTTATGATGACAGTAAATTATATTTTATAGATATTTTTCAAGACACTTCTATACAGCTTAAAGTGACATTTAAAGGCTTAACTAATTAGGCAAGTTAGGGTAATTAGGCAAGTCATGTTAAACAGTGGTTTAATCTGTAGACAATAAAAAAAATTGTGCTTAAAAGTGCCGTATGTACGTTTTTGACTATTCTAAAGCTTAAAAATATCATAATATGTTTGCAGATAATTAGGAAACATGCTAGGTGAACTTTGCCGAAGTCAGATATTCTGCTTTAAATATGTGCTTTCCGTGGTGGAAAGTCTGTCTTTGTTTTGGTTCTTTTAACCCATCCAATGACAGTTTAGCCAATTATGTTTCAGCATGCCGGGTTGACTTGGTGGAAAACTGCATATTTCATTTATTCATTCTGAAAGTCTCTCACAGCATGCACTCGTGACTGAAATGCGACCTCTGGTGGACAGTAGCAGACTCTGAAATGACACGCAGATTCAAAGTTCCACATGAGGTTATTAATTAGCCAATAATATAAATCTTACTAATGTGAACATTAGGTGAGCAGGTTAAATTGTAACCCCGTGTCCTAACAACACGTTACGTGATGAGATACGCAGTGATGAGCAATTTGTTTGTTTGCATCAGACAAAACTCGACAGAAATTGAAATGCAGCCATTCAGAAGCACAGATGCACTCACTCACTCACGAAATGGTAAGGTTTAAAATCTAATTCATACATATTAAACCTCTTTAATATTATTAAATGTAGATGCTGAATCACTAATGGGTGTTCTGAGTCACAGCAATGAAGTTTAAATGGTTTATTTTATTTTCAAGATCTGCTGCTGTAAAATGGCATTCAAACTCACATTGTTAGCATTAATTAAAGCACATGAGATGTACCTGAGGTGATCATTGTCAGTGTATCCTGTTGTTCAGCTGCAATAGAAGCCATTTCTAATATATCAATTTGAAATGTTACTTTGAAAAAAAAAACTAATTTTAATATTGAAAATATTCTTTCTATCGTGTGTCATTGCTTTTATTTACAACGTGATCATCAGACTTGATCTTTTCTGGCAACCTGTGCTTGATTTTGTCTTGATCCAGGATTGCAATACCTAGTTCAACCACTGGGTATGAAGCTTACATACTGACCTTAAAAATGGATAAAAAAAAATTAAAGCTGCTTCTATTCTAGCCGAAATTTAAACAAATAAGATTTTCTCCAGAAGAAAAAATATTATAGGAAATACTGTGAAAAATGTCTTTGCTCTGTTAAGCATCATTTGGGTAATACATAAAAAAAACAATTAATATTATGCTTATAGTGCTAATAGTTTGCACTTCAACTGTATATACTTATCTATTTACTGTAAACCAGTAATTGATTGTAGGATTAGCTTTAAAAAGAAAATACGGTCACACTTTATTTTAAGGTAAATTCTCACTATTAAGTATGACTTTGCTCAATAAACTACTAATTTGCAGCTTATTAATAGTTACGAGACAATTAATTTTAACAGATTTTTTTTGGTAACTTACCAGTGACAAGTCAAATCTCATTTCAGTATTAGTAGAGTAATATTAGATAATTATGTTAGGGCAAGATTTTGTTTAGGGTTAGTAGAACACAGTGCACCTGGAAAGTATTTATAGCGCTTCACTTTTTACACATTTTTTATGTTACCTTATTCCAAAATGGATTCCGTTCATTTATTTCCTCAAAATTCTACACACAATACCCCATAATGACAATGTGAACAAAGAGTTTTTGAAATTGTTGCAAATTTATTAAATATAAAACCCTGAAAAATCACATTTACGTCATTGTTCACAGCCTTTGCTCAATACTTTGTTGATGCACTTTTTTTACAGCCTCAAGTCTTTCTGAATATGATGCTGCAAGCTTGGCACACCTTTCTTTGGGAGTTTTTGCCCATTCCTCTTTGCAGTACCTCTCAAGCTCTATCAGGTTGGATGGGAAGCGACGGTGTACAGTCATTTTCAGATCTCTCCAGAGATGTTCTATAGGATTTAGGTCTGGGCTTTGGCTGGGCCACTTTTCAAATCAAGTCCGATCAACTGAATTTACCACAAGTGAACTCCAATGAAGCTGCTGAAACATCTTAAGAATGAAGCTGTGGTCACACAGCTGAGTGCAGAGTTTGAGCATGTGAAATTCTGTTGTACGGCACTGTGTAAAGGAACGGGATTAAACCAGATGAATAGACATTTAAAAAAGCGAGCGATTGGTCCATATTTAAAATTTCTGTCCAGAGAGGTCATGCTTTGATTCTCAATTGGTCTCATGCTGTCACGTGATACGGTTTCGCAGGTCAGAGTTCACCAAGCTTGAACTTTGCAACGCAGCGAACTGTGAACTTGTCGCACGAGCTTGCGTTTCCAGTCTGACGGATTATTGTGTGTGTTTTTGCAGCTTTGTAAAAATATCTGTAGGTTAGCAGTTTTTCGTATTTTGTGATTCATTATTTTCCCCCTTTTTTATGCTTTTGAGTCGCATCATGGGATCTTGATCTTTCTTCCAACAACTTTTAACCTTAAAAAGTTGGAAAAGGGTGATTTTCATTCCCATTTTTAATAGTTTAAAGTGATATATTGCCTGTGTTGGTGTTGTATATTGTGCTACAAAACCCTTGTAATAAACTGCCTGTACATTTTCTCTTATTTTACAGACTTAATTCTCTCAGTATATAATTTCTTTTACGTTATAATATTTCAAACTTCTAAAATGTCAATAAAAGTCTCTTTATTAAGCTGTAGAGTTGAGTTTTCAACATTTAAAGTCAACAAAGCAAAGGTCAACATCCCATTATACAATTCACAATCGTAAATAAACAGAAAATACTTGTGAATCACAGATATTAACAAGTATTTTTATACAGAAGTGGCAGATATATTCATCGCATAGTCTACTAATGACTGCTAGTTGATGTGTCATTTCAGCATTACATGTAGTGAACATAATGTCTAAAAGGGAACCATTCAAATGAAGTCTTATAATTCAAAGTCCTGCCTCTTTAAGAGTCTCTGGAACCACATTTAGGCATTTCAAATGTGTTTTTGCACTGTGACATTGGCGATAAACACACTCTGTGTTTCGTGCGCTGCTGTAAGAATCTGGCCCTCAGCTGTGAAGTGGCAACAAGCTCGAGATTCCTCAGAGAGGGTGATAATTGGCAGGAAACATGAGAAGATCTGGCAACCCTGACAGCTGACAGCATCTGACAGTGGAGAAGAATGACTTCTTCTCATGCTATTAATGAGCACACGCTTAGGGAAAAAAACAATACAGTACCAAAACACTTTTTTTCAAGTGTGTTAAAAGCTTGGAGATGCATTTATTCTGTTTTTTCGACAGTTTGATGTGAGACATTTAAATGGGTTTCTGTTGGTGTTGTTATTAGAAATACAATATCAATGTGATGATGAAATGATGCAATAATTAAGCAGACCCTTCATCCAAAACAACTTGCAACAAATGCAGAGAGTATAAGTAATCAAAGCAACAAAAGAACAAAAGTGTGTGAATAATATGATGATTCCTCATTAGTCTAATGCAGCAAACATTTTAAAAATATATTGGAGGTAATAAGAAAATTAAATAGATACTGATGTTAGGAGGCCAGATTTGTTAACTTAAATTTAATAAAATTTAATTAAATTAAAAGGGGAAAAAAATTAAATAAAAAAATAATAATTATAAAAGGGAAAAATAATAATAATAAATTTAAAAAGGAAAAAATTAAGTTAAAATGAAAAAGCGAAAATTGTTATTAAATTAAATCAAATTAATTTGAATTGAAAGAGAAAAGGTAAAAGAAATATTAAATTAAATTAAAAATAAATAAATTGATTAAATTAAAAAGGGAAAATTCAATTAAATTTAAAAAAGGGGGAAAACCAAATAAAATTAAAGGGGAGAAATTTTAATTAAATAAAAAAGAAAAAAATTATATTAAATTAAAAATGGGAAATATTTTTTTAAAAATTAAAAAGGGAAAATTGAAATTCTATTAATGTAAATTAAATTAAAAAGGGAAAATAATTAAAATTATATAAATAAAAAAGGGACAAATTATATTAAATAAAATTCAAAACAGGAAATCACACGAGTAGCAGTGTGCTATGGTTGTATATCAGCACTGGTGGGAAGCGTGCGTTGGCACGAGGTGTTTATACAACAGTTCGACAGCACAATCTTGTACATAAAATAAAAAAATCAAACAGGGAGAGTCTAAAACCCTTTTGTATTAGGAACTACTTTCTTCCGCCATTCATTCACATCTGCAGCTGACTAATTCACCACCGTATATAGCTAGAGCTAGTATTTGAATGATTCTCTATAGCATAATGTGAAGTGGCGCTTCTGGTGTGTGACCCCCCTTAAGGTGATGACAAAAGAGCAAATTTTGCTCACATTTTAAGATTATAAGGCTGAACGTGACATGATATGCCATCCATTCACAGAGATTTCTCACCAGACTGCTGTTGTGTTTGCGATAAGAAGGGACAAGGCTGAATCCAGCTTCTTATTAGCAGCTTCTTATTGACTTTGGCCCCGTTTACACTAGTGCGTTTTAGTTTTAAAACGGCGTTTTAGAATGAAAACGATCCGCGTCCACACTCGCGTTTTACCCAGCGTTTCTGAACTGCTCTCCGTCCACACCAAAACGCTGAAAACGCACATCACGTGACCACACACACACACACTTTGGCAATCGCTGGAGCCCATCTACCCAGATGAGAGCTCTGCTAGTCGGACTTCTCATCAAGCATCTCCCGCTGGATCTAATCTCACTATATTTATTAATCGGGATATTTCATTCATCTTGTTGTCTTCATCTAACGACATATTCCCTGACTTTGGTCATTGGAATCTATTACTTGTTCTCAGGTAACGTGTTTTGGCTGAGCGCAAAGATAAGTTAATGATTAATGTAACCAGGTAGCCTACATTCTGTATATTGACTGATCGCTTGCCTTTATTTCCTATAATGTATAAACTTATTGTATGTTATACTTTTATAATGGCCATTATCGATTATTAAAACTGATATTCAGCAAAAGAGAGGCTATGTTTCGTATTTTCACTGAAATTGAAAGGAGGCAGTTGTTATCGGCTCCGTTTTGTTATAAATATCCACACAGTGAAGATGACGCTCATAAATGCAGCACGACGCCTCAACATTTCTGCTGTCTGTTTAGTTGTTAATATTAAAATAAAAATAGGCAGTTCCTTATATCAAGTTTACATTTTATTGTTGAGAAAGTGAAACAACGTAGCCAAGGTGATGTGAATGAAGTTATAAAGTACACTGTTTGACGCGTGTCCTCGGTATGTTTTCCATATCAAACTGAGAAGAAGAGATGCAGCCTTGATCAAACTTGCGAAGTCTAAACTTACACGGAGAAGATTCAGGACTGAACTGTGTGTTAGGCTACTTAATATTGAGGAAAAGCCCCAATCAGAGAGGCGAATGTCTGCAGCCCCGCCTCCGTTTTCAGATGTCTCCGTCTTTCCCCATCCACACTGAGACGGAGCAGCAGCGTTTTAGAATGAAAACGGCCTTTCCAGCGTTTTCGAAACGCTCCGTTTTCGGCGCTCGAGAACTCCGGCGTAGTGTGGACGGATGGCATAACCGTAGCAAAACTTATGCGTTTTCAAACTAAAACGCACTAGTGTAAACGGGGCCTTTATCTGGTCCACCTTAAAAACCACGAGGCTTCCGTTTTTCAGCTTTTTATTCACGCTCAAGAGAACACACTGAGCAAAGGGCTTATTATGCGGTTCTGATGCCATCTTGTGGATAGAAAACGTCATCCGTCTTTGGCTGCCGACGAGCTCTCAGAAATTGTAAATATTTAAAAATAGGCACTATTCTTACAAATAAACTGCATAGTTGCAATCTAAACAGCTAGATTCTCGACTAAAAAAGCCTCAAAAGTACATTTTGTTGTCTAACAACATAATATTTATCAAACTGTAGCATCTCTGCTTGTTGCTTGCTGTATGTGGGCGGAGTATTACACAGAGGTGAAGGGTGAAGAGTCCTTTGTGTAATATTACTGGCAAAATATCGCACAGCCATCAGCCAATCAGATTCAAGTAACAGACAGAACTGTTGTTTAAATATTTATAGATAGAAATGCAAGAAATGTGCATTTATTCTGATCTAGGCAGCATTTATTTAATCAAAAATGCAATAAACACTGTATTTTTGTAAAATATTATTAAAAATGTAAAAGAATTTCTTCTGTTTCAATATACAGCAAAGCTGAATTTCACCATTGTTACCCCATGATTACTTGGGGACCCCCTCAAAAATGAGATCTCAGGGGGCTTTCACATTTAATGAATTAAAATATACATGATCCTTCATAATTAAAATTTTTAGCTAATTAAAATGAATAATTTGTAATAATTTAATAACATTTTTAATAATAATTTTTTGCAAAAAATATAGATTTTTGCGCTCAAATGTTTGGTTTAATGCAAACTCACATCATTCAATAGTGAACAGATCTAATTACCTGAACTCTAAGTTGATCTCATCTCTAAGTTGACATTTCTGTAATTTCTCCTATTGTTTTCATAGGTGACGTTCACGAAGAGGAAGTTTGGACTGATGAAGAAGGCGTATGAGCTCAGCGTTCTGTGTGATTGTGAAATAGCCCTGATTATCTTCAACAGCTCCAATAAGCTCTTCCAGTACGCCAGCACAGACATGGACAAGGTCTTGCTCAAGTACACAGAATACAACGAACCTCACGAGAGCAGAACCAACTCAGACATCGTGGAAGTAAGTGAATGGTAAAAAAATGGCCCAAAAATGTAAATATTGCTGCATAATTAGATATTATGTTTGTTATACTCTCTTTTTATAACAAACAGCCTTTTTGTTTAAGACATTATAACCAATCACACATTCCTATTGAGCTCACGAACCAATAAGAGCCTTTTAGATTAGCCAGCAGTGAAAAGGCAGGAGTTTTGTTGAATGTTTGTATGTTTATTTTTGCTAGCATAAGCTTTGCTAAACTAATATAAAAAATTTATATGTTACGTGTTTGAAGAATGGCTTTTTTAATCAAAATTTAATTGAGTTTTAATAGAATTTTAATTAAAGGGTATTTTTTGTATAAATTAAGTATTTAACAAGCAAAAATAGGGCGGCTCAGTGGTTAGTACTGTTGCCGCACAGCAAGAAGGTCTCTGGTTTGAGTCCCGGCTGGGCCAGTTGGCATTTCTTTGTGGTGCTTGCATGTTCTCCCTGTGTTTGTGTGGATTAAATTGGCTGTATTATATGTGTGTGAATGAGTGCTTATGGATGTTTCCCAGTATAGTAGAGTTACGGCTGGAAGGGCATCCGCTGTGTAAAACATATGCTGGATAAGTTGGCGGTTCATTCCGCTGTGGCGACCCCAGATTAATAAAGGGACTAAGCCGAAGGAAAATTAATAAATTAATTAAGCTAAAATAAAAGCGAGGCTGATATGTAAAAAGACACTTAAAACCAATTTCAGGTTCAAATGTGGGTATAATAATGATGAGAAATGTAATTTCTGTCTTTGCTGCATGTTTAGGCAGCACATGAATTTCAAAAGCAGCAATAAATATATTAATTGTGCATTAACTACCAGTATTAGGGGCCGATCAAACCAAATGCACTTTTCCGTTTTAAAATAAACGTCTTTTATGTCGCAAGGCCATGACTGAATAAGCTGGGGATCGTGAGCGAGTGTTGCTTTTGATATTGGTATAATTTTAATGCTTAATAATATTGTGATATTCAAGATTAGTGAGTCATACAGCACCAGATAAATCAAAACAGCAACCACAAGTCTCTCCTCCATCTTCAAAAATCTCCGTAGTTGTCTGAACAACGTAAAAACTGCTGTCACTTCAGCAGAAACCCCGCCTCTGCTTTCATTTGATTGAAGAATGAAAAAGACGCGAGTGACGTAATGCGCTTTTTTCGCTCAGAGTTTAATTTTTACAACTGCGAGAGCACAGCCTGCAACGGCAAAAACGTAAGGAGCAGCAGGCGGTTAAAAAGTGAGACGCGCAGGATGCAAAATGTTTGCGGCCGTTCGTAAATCATTCAAAAAAGCTCTTTACGCAAAAAGCGCGTTCGGTGTGATCAGCCAACTTAGAGTGCATTTACACTTGAGCCTTTTCATTTTTAAATGGTATTTTAGGCTATGTTTACATGAGAACGCTGAAACTAAAATTGGAAAAGATTTTCCCCTTGCTTTTTAAAGTTTCACATTTACATGACAATGTTTTCAAAACCATCCACGTTTGCACATCAGTGAAAAAACCAAACCAAAAACACTGCATCACTAATGTGATCTCACGGCAATGTGTAACATTTTGATTTATTAGCTATTTTGGATGATTTCGCACGGCCTAATTTGTACATTTTAGTTTGATTTGCTCATCCCCCAATGATGTTTGGGTTTAGGGGTGGAGTTTGGTGCCACACCTCCTTTTAAAAATCATATATGTTCGTATGACTGAACTCAATTAAATTTGTATGAATTAGCCAATAAACTGTCAAAAATGTGTAGTAGTTACGTTTCCTCTTGAGATTAGGCTGGTATTGCTTATGACAAGCCAGTATGATAGGCCTTATGACAGGCCACCTTGGTCCAATCCATTCAGTTCATCGCTCTATAGCACTTTTACAATGTAGATTGTGTCAAAGCAAGTTCCTGTAAATTGAAACTGTGTCAGTCCAGTTTTCAGTAGTAGTAGTAGTTTAGCTCGGTGTAGTTTAATTTTCACTGCTGAAAGTCACTGAATCCATCGATGCGCATCTCCACAAATCCCAAACCAAGCAAGCCAGTGGTGACAGTAATGAGGAACAAACTTCACCAATTGACGAAAGTGAAGCAGAAACCAGGCTCAGTTGTGCACGACCATTTCTCCTCTGACCAAACTTCCTGTGCAGAGCTGAGGTCTAGGCGCCGGAGGCTGGACAAACACTGGACTGCAGAAGTGTGCAGGCTGGCCCACGGGATCAATGTGGAGACTAACCTGTCTTTGGGGTCTTTCAGGAATCAGTCTCATGCTCTCCACTCCATTATGACCACCACAGCATCTACTCAGGATACGGCCTGGTCCAGGATTATGGAGACCTCTGGATAAGGAGAAACCGACTAACATAAATGTAGATGCCGTTCAAATTATAATGTGTTTTTGGAAGTGTTTCTGACTCTGGTTGCCCTAAATAATGCACACTAACAATCCTTTAGAAGATTTGGATTTCAAAAGCATTTGTGTTATATGAGTATGCTAATGCAAAGAGATGTGTCTTTAATCTCGTTTTAAACTAACAAAGTGAGTCTGCCTCCCGAACTGTGCTAGGAAGGCTGTTCCAGAGTTAAGGTGCCAGATATAAGAAAGATCTACTGCCTACAGTTGATTTTGATATTCTGGTAATAATAAATTGTCCAGAATTAATTGAGCGTATCGGATGTGAGGAGCTGTAAAACACCAGGAGCTCCCTCAAATACTGGAGAGCTAAGCCGTTTAGGGTTTTGTAGTCAATAAAATTGTAATATTTATACAACATTTATTAGGGAGCCAATGCAATGATGAAAGAACTGCGTTACTAGGTGGTTGCTTTGCTGGCCTAATTAACAAACTTCAGCTAGTTCAAAATGCAGCTGCTAGAGTGCTTTCTAGAACAAAGAAATATGATCATATTACTGCATTACAATAATTAATCGAGAGGTCATGAAAGCATGAATAAGCTAATACTAACTGTATATGGCTGAAATGGCAATAAATACCTACTAGGGCTGTAACGATTTATCATTGTACGATTTATTGCGATGCAAAAATGTCACAATATGCATCGTGGCGTTATGACGATTTGATTACGATACGACGTCCGTTTTCTCTTATTAGTTGAGCTGTTTGCACGTGAGCTACGTTCCACCTGCTGTCGCACGTGAGTTCAGATTGCAGCAGCAGTAATGTTAGCAGACCAAGATGAGTGGAGCTGAAATAGAGGATGGCCCATCCTCTCAAAATCAGACGTCTGGCAACATTTCGGTTGTACAGTAATTGCTTTAGACTCGTCCGCTTTTTGACACGCATACTGGGTCAAACATGGCCGAAGTTTTAAAGTCTTCACAGTGATTTACATACTTTGCACAGCGACAGGGATACCTCCTAATGGGGTTGAAAGAGTCACATACTGTATTTATAAGGTACAATCACCCTAAAATATCATTCTGTCTTCATATAATGTTCCCGCCGCAAAACCACACATGACGTGAGCTGACAGTGAACTGTTACTACAGAGGGCGGACTTTGATAGACGCGCGCGTATGGCAAGCCGTTTTAGCATTTAAACCTTTGTTCTGACTATCCATAAATATATTTAGAGATATCTCTAATTATATTTTGACTAGTCATAATTATAATTCGACTAGTCAGAATGACAATTAGAGATATCTCTAAATGAATTTATTTAAATATGAATTAAATACCTGGAAATGTGGATTTTTTTTTGCACACACAAAAAACGCAAGTGACCAAGCAAAGTCTTAAGCTCTTACTGTTAAATTCAATTGAATAGAAAGCTTTTTTTTTTTTTGCACCTTTACTTAAATTTTTCCTTAATTTTGTCTCTGTCATTTCAATAATATTTTTTAAGAAGTTTTTAAATTGTTTTATTTTTCAGAGACAGGCCTGTTTAATTTATTTTCTTAAAGAAGGTTCAGTTTAACAAGTTAAAACAAAATAAATACATAAAAAATAGTTTACTTGGTAAAATTTGCATTTCACTTTAATTTTCAATTTTTATTCCAAATATCGTGATACATATCGAATCGTGAACATTATATCGTGATACACATCGTATCGTGAGCTGAGTGTATCGTTACACCCCTAATACCTACTCAACTTGACGAGCAATTGTCCAGAATATTAGTTGGAGAGAGATTGAAAATAGCAATAATTAGCATTTGAAGGCTGAAATAGAATACTAGACAATATGACACACCGGTGTTTTGGAATATGGAAAAACTGTCTCAATGCTGTTTTCATCTTTTTTATGTTATTTGTTTCTATTTTATTTGTACTTGTCTCTTTTATTTCCGTGTATGTAAAGCCTATCTTGCTGACAGTTTTTCTGTGTCCATAAGAACTCATATATCAGACTCTGTTCATCTGTCCTGTGGTGTGCCTCAAGGTTCTGTCCTAGGCCCTCTTTTTTTAAATTTATATATGCTCCCTCTCAGCAAGATTGTTAATAGTTTTAAAGTTATATCTTACCACTGCTATGCAGATGATGTACAATTATATTTTCTTTTATCCCTGACAGGTTAGACAAACTGTCTCTCTTGCAGGATTGTTTCGTCCACATTAACATATGGATGGCAGACAATTTTCTGCAACTGAGCCCTAATAAAACTGAAATGCTGATTTTTGCTCCAGTTAGCATCACCCCGATGATCAGGCAAGTTTTTGGGGGTTTGTCATCTTCAAACTGCAGTGATATTAGGAATCTTGGTGTCATCTGTAATCGAGCTCTGTGTTTTAATAGCCATGTTAAATCTGTTGTTTGTATTTTTTCATCTGAGCAACATTTCTGTGTCAAAGAAGAGATGGAGATGCTTGTTTATGCCTTAATCTCTTCACAATGGGTTTATTGTAATGTTCTGTTCACTTGTCTAATCAAATCTTCTATGGATCGATTGCAAGTTGTGCAGAATGCAGCGGTGAGGCTTTTAACCAACAGCAGTAGGAGGTCACACACAGGGGCGGACTGGCCATCTGGCAATT